AAAGTACCATGGACTGCTAAAAGAACAAACAAATCTGTGTTGGAGGACGTACAGCCAGAATGCTCCACATAAGCCAGGATGGTGAGGCTTTATCTCTCATGTTGTTGTTAAGTGCCTCAGGCATATTATCAGTAAAGTGAGTGTCTGTGAAGAAGAGTGAGATCTGCAGTGAGATGGATTAGCACAGTGGCAGTATCAATGGGTTCGGGGGTAGTAATTGTGAGGGTGCTGCAGGACCTGGTAGTGTTTTGTTCTGTTGTGCATCTAGTCACTATGAGTACAAAATGAGTTGATGACACCTAACAAAAACAATAACAAAGCATGAAGTCTATGAACATATCTTTGAAAGTAAAAGGAATTTTGGTTGGTAAAGCTACAGAAAAGTTGAAGTGTGTAATTTTCTTCTCAAATCCAGAGGTAAATGCTTTTGTGATGATACAGAAGGGGGATTACAGTAGGAGGAATAAGAAATTCTGCTCCTTTGCAAATTCTCCAGTAGCTATGGTATTCTGCACTATCCTTACCTTCTATCTCCTTTCCTTGCCTTTTCTATGAAATTGAGAATACTCCAACTTTATCTTTATTATCATAGAATGGGTGATTTGACATGTTTCTAGAGGAGATAATTCTTTTTCTGTTTTTTACTCAGATAATGAAACTGCTGTATATACATTAATGCCAATGGTTATGGCTGATCAACACAGGTAGGTGACTGCCTATCAATTTACAACTTTTGTTGGAGAAGTACAAATTTACTGAAATGTATATATCTCCACCTCCCCTATACAATTTGGATGTAGATTTAGCAGTACATATTTGTTCTTTTAAATTCTCCGTTTCTTCCCTAATTTTGGTGCTGTCTTGGGGCAAATTATTTAACCTTTCGTACAATTTCCTGTCTTTGAAATTAGGAACAAGATTCTGAAAAATTGATATGATAAAGAGATTTTCTAAATGATTTTAGAGGTCACTATTAATCTCTTTTTAAAATTTTTTATTTAACTATTAATCTTTATATGGAGTCCTGGTGTGGTGTTGTGGGCTATTGCATCAGACTGCAAAGTCATTTGTATTGCAAGGTCAGTGGTTCAAGCTCACGAGCTGCTCCTTGGAAACCCTATACAGGGTCGCTATGGGTCGGAATTGGCTCAATGGCACTTAACAACAACATTAATCTTTATAAGGAGCACTGATATCCTAGTGAGCTATGCATTGGGCTTCTAAGCACAAGGTCAGCAGTTCAAATTCACCAGAGGCTCATTGAGAGAAAAATGAGGCTTTCTCCTCCCATTAAGATTCGTAGCTTTGGAAACCTTATACTGGATTGCTATGAGTCGGAACTGACTCGACGGCACACCACGATCACCACTCATCTTTATAGCAGAGGGTTTGGAATGTTTCTTAACGCAGTATTATTTGCTGTCTTTTCATTGGAATAAAGTTGATACTCACACTCGTGTGAGATACAGTCAGCTAACTGTGTGATGGCATGTTTACACTTCTAATAGTATAATGAGAAGAGAGTGAAGAGAAACTATATTTTGAAGCAAGTTTAAAATATAGATGATTTTTGTTTTAAATTTCTTATTTGGTATGGTCCAAAAGTTTTTTTGCCAGATTTTCTTCATGTGGCCAATTTTATATTAAGTGGGCTCAGCTTTCTGCAAGGGGAATCTCACCCCCTACTCTTTTTGTTCCCCTAGAATTTTGGGTGAGCTGAGCTAACTTTCCCTGTTAGCTGGCCTCAACACTACCAGAAAAGCAAAGGAGAAAACCTTCAGCACCACTTTATTGTCCAAGGTAGTTGCCTTTTTGGATGATACTAATGCTACACCTGGCATGGCGCTGCAAAGTCAAATTGAACTGCAAGGTTGATGGCTCAAGCTCACAGCAGCTCCTTGGAAACCCTACACAGGGTCTCTGTGGGTCAGAACCCACTTGATGGCATTTAACAACAATAACAGTGCTATACCTAGAATGTGGTGATGGTGGCTATGTGCTGTGGAGTCAGTGCCGACTCAGAGCGACCCTGTGTAGGGTGAACAGTGCCTTATTTTCTGGTTGATGTCAGACAGAACACTTTGTAGGATCTGTAATAGCAGGTAAAGAGTTGTTCACTTGATTGATTATGTGTTTACAAGCTATATTTCATGTATTGACGCATGATTTTATTTTGGTGTAGATCTGTTTCTGAACTACTATCAAATTCAAAGTTTGATGTCAATTATGCTTTTGGACGTGTGAAAAGAAGCTTGCTTCACATTGCAGCAAAGTAAGACTAAAGCTATTTTGAGTTAAACTGCTCTAGAGGCAGGATCAGCCAGCTTTGAGTCATTGTGGAGAGAGATGAGCACAAATAGCTGAGTGGTTCCTTATCTTGTTTTTGGCAAAGTGTGCTGTACTTACCTTCTTAACTCTACATACATTTTCACTTTGGGATTGGACTAGTAAAAAGAAAAGTCTCATATCCAATATTGTCTTAGCTTTTTTTGATCAAGTCAGAGTAGGTAGGCCTGGGGATTATCATTGTTGGGTATCCTTAAGGGAGACAATTGCTTTTATTGGATTTCTAATAGCGTAGTGGTTAGGAATCGGGCTGTGAGCTGCAAGGTCAGCAGTTTGAAACTATCAGCGGTTCTGCGGGAGAAAGATGAGGCGGTCTGCTCCCGTAAAGATTTACAGCCTCGGAAACCCTGTGTAGGGTCGCTATGAGTTGGAACCGACTCCACGGCACATAACAACAACAAGAATATAAGATTTAAATAGGGCACATTGAGGGTAATTATAACCAACAGTTGTATGATGATATGAAAGGAGCTCTGGTAGCATGGTGGTTACGAGTCGGGCTGCTAATCTTAGTGGTCAGCAGTTCAATACTACCAGTGGTTCTTTAGGGGAAAGATGAGGCTTTCTACTCCCATAAAGATTTACAGTCTCAGAAACCCTATACAGGGTAGCTATGAGTCAGAACTGACTCCATGGCACATAGCTACCACCACCATGATGATATGATGTAACTCTTTGTGTGGTCATTGGCTTTTATATTTTTTACCTTGATAGGAGAATAATATTTATACACATCTGTCAGTATGTAATCATTCAACTAGTTGATATCTGGCCCCTTTTCAGGACTTGCATAGGTGTGTTGAAATTGATTGTTTTTATAATGGCTCCTGGAGGAATAAAAACGTATAGAGTATTGTATGATTTCTTTTATAAACTAATAATTATTTTACTTTGTCTGAGCTTCTCGTATACTTCATAGCTTTTATAGTAGAATGTACTGTCTTGAAAGTACAGATAATTATTTGTGGTAGAAGTTAAACTGAATTGTAGGCAAATAGGGATTTAAATATAGAACTCTTGTTTTAATTAAGCTAACTTGAAGTATGATACCCATTGAATAATGTCAATTGTCTTTTACTATTCTTTAGTTGTGGCTCGGTGGAATGCTTGGTTCTGCTATTAAAGAAAGGAGCAAATCCTAACTATCAAGATATTTCAGGCTGTACACCCCTTCATTTGGCAGCTAGAAATGGGTAACTATTTTGTTTACTTTAGTAACTAAGTTGTTTTATCAATGATGGCTAACAGTATTCAAGGCACTCTATTTTACCTTGTTTTGGTGGTTTTTTTCCCCTCTTCAATATTTGTCTTCAAGAAATACTACAGAAATAATGTTCGTATTTTAGCTTTGTATAATTTTTTTTGTGTGTCTATGATACTGTTGGTAAGTCTCCTTTTTTCTTCTTTAAAATAGGTTTTGGGCCAGTATACTTAATTTCAAAATAATCATCATGTTTAATAGTTTATTAAATTATTTACTTTTTTTTATTTCCTTGAAAATATACTTGTGATAGTTCATTGGTACTTGTATTACAATGACATTCTAATTTCTGAGAAGCAAAATTTTAACTTTTCTGTTTTTTGTATCCTTTTTCTTGCTAATCTTTTGTTACCCCTAGCTCCAAGACTTATTTTCCAAATTGTTTCAGTTAATTTTATTAATGGAATTAAAGATAGAGTGCATCTGGTAGCACCAGTTTATTTTATAATTGTTTGATAGTTACCTATGCCAGAGTAATTTCTTACTTTTCAGTGCCTTTCTGGCTTTCTGTTACTTTTTAGTACCCAAACTTTTTTTTACTTTAGCTATGTTTGACAAAAACTTTCTATATAAACTATGTACTTACTAACTAAATGTCACAAATAACAAAGTATTGCTATAGTAACAGCTTATACATATTACATGTTTATTCCATACATAACGTGTTGACCAGTGGATGGCTGCAAACAAGTTCTTTCAGTAATACGCTTGTCTTAGTCTTGATAGGTTGCCTTGAAGGGAAAAAAAAAAAGATCTATCAAAATAGTGGCTTCCAAGGGGGTCTGCTAGACTAGTTAAATTCAACTCAGAAGGTATTGATAACTGTTTTTGGAATTCCAAATGAGTAATTTTGGCAGATTTCCTCAAAGGACAAAGGACAATCATGGGAACTTATGAAGAAATTTTAAGAAAATGGAAAAGTGCATTGAGACAGAGGCCGGGAAAGGTGTGTCATGCAGTGTTTTTCTATCAGGACAATGTCCCTGCTCACTCTTGAAGGGTATTTCAAGGAGGATTTCATTGGGAAGTCTTACCCCACCTATCCTACAGTCTTGATCATGCTCCTTCAGGCTTTTTATTTGTTCCTCCAAATCCAAGAACATTGGAAAAGAACATGATTTGAGTACCGGGAGGAGACAGAACTTATATTTTGAGGTGGTGTGAATCAAAGAGTGTAGATTTCTTTGGGAAAAGGTTCGTCATGGTTGTGATGTGCCATGGACTCAGTTCCGTCGCATAGTGACCCTGTATAAGGTTTCCAAGGCTGTAAATCTTTACGGGAGAAGAAAGCCTCATCTTTCTCCCATGGAACAGCTGGTAATTTTGAACTGCTGACCTTAATGTTCACAGCCCGATTTGTAACCGCTACACTACCAGAGATCCTTTGGGAAAAGGTTAAAGAGATGGAAATATCACTTTCAGAGGTGTATAGACCTTTTATATACAACTCTTTGTGTATGTATGCTAAAAATTTTTGAACTGTACACTTCAATTTTTGAGTTATATAGTATGTGGATTATATCTCAGTAAAGCTCTCAGAAGAAAAGAAGGGTGTATAGACCTAGATAGAGGATATGTTGAGTAACAATACCATACATTTTTATTGAATCAAGGTGTATATGATTTTTGTAGCAATACTTTTTGACTTACTGCATAGATACTATTTTAAAATTTCTTACCAAATATATTTTTCTTTTATTAAAGGAGTATTTTAAAAAGTCAGAACTTTAATCTGATATATTGAATGTATTTTGCCTTTTCTGGTTAACTCCTTTCGTCATTATGAACATCATTATGGTTTTGTGTATTATTTTAAACTCTGCTATTTGGAGTTTATTTTGCTCGGCTTTTGTCAGGAATGTCAGGCATCATATCCTGTATCTAAGGAACCCTGGTAGTGTAGTGGTTTACGAGCTGGGCTGATAACCGCAAGGTTAGCAGTTTGAATCTACCAGTCACTCCGATGGAGAAAGATGAGGCTGTCTGCTCCTGTAAAGAGTTACAGCTTCAGAAACCCTATACAGAGTTGCTGTGAGTTGGAACCAAGTCAGTGGCTCACAACCACCACCACCACTATCTTGTGGAGGCTCCCTCTGTCACTGTTACTCTCTTCTTAAAACAAGTTTTTTATTGGACTGAGAAAGTAGACCAAAGGATTCAAATTACATTTAAAATCAAACAGTGTAATTTTTTATTCAGGAATTGAGGAACTTTTATTTATCAACTTTTAAGAACATTAAGGTGGCTCCTTATGATAAATACTGGAATGCAAACTGCAAGGTCTGTGGGTCCAGCCCTTCAGCCCTTCCTCGAGAGAAATACGAGACTTTCTACCTGGGAAATCCTATGCAGGGTCACTGTAAGTTGGAACCAATTTGATGGCACTTAAAAACAACAGGAATGATAAAACTTCTTTATGAAAGTATATACCTATTATGTCTCTTCTCTTGGTCACTCTTAATTATATTTTCATATTCTGAAATGGGATTTCAGATAGTTAAGGTGGCTGTGGAACTGAAATGGATATAGGGCTAAAATTAGCTATGTGTCAGTTTGGGGCCACATTTTTGTATCTGTGGATTAAAGGGCCAAAAAGACAAGAACTGTTATGATGTTTAGGGTGGAGAGGAGAAAGGTGCAGTTCTTATAGCCTACCTGGTCTGTCCTATTTCCTTATTTAGCATGTGAACCAGTTTAATTTTCCACTGTTCTGATAGGTAGCAACATGTTGATTAAACAATTATGCATATAGCCACATTAAATATGTCACAGCCAAGGTCATAGGTCATTCTGTTGCTGTTTGATCTCACATTATCATAAGTATTGGTGAGATCGTGGCAAAGCTCTTTGAAATAATTATATATAGATAATTAACTCTGAAAGAACACATTGGTCTACAGCAGGGATAAAATTAAATTTGCTGTCATTTTTGTCAGAGACTAATCAGCTGGGTTCATTCAGTCTGAGGATCAAGAAACAGGTTTTAGGCTTGAAGGACAGGATGTTGGTCTGCTAAAAAGACTTCTCCAGTCCTTTTTTTAAAATCCTTCTGTCAGCAGTAACCAAAGGGGATCATTACATTTAATTCATGAAGAAATGTGACAGATATTACATGGCAAGTCAGGGAAGAGAAAAGAACGTAATAAAAAATTCGTGACACTTTCCTTTAGTTTGAATACTCTTTTCTGTATATAAAAACTACTTTTGGCATTCAATACTTGAATATTTTGCTGGTCATTATTTATCAGATGATTATCTTTTATAACTTAAGAGTGCCTAATAAATGTTTGCCGAATGACATGCGTATTTATTGGTATTTTGTATAGCTTATGATATTTTCAGAAATAACACTTAACTATAATTTCTTTATGATTAAAGTTGTCTAGATTGAAGCAGAAATCCTAGAGTATTTGTTTCCCTTTGCTGGACCACCTGTGTTTTTGGGTTAGCTTTTTCTTTTGCCCCTTATCGCTCATTGTTGGGTGGATAATATATATCTCTTGGCCTGCTTTAGTAGTTCTCTCTTTACCTAGTAGTGCTGTCATGGGTTGCCCTCCTTGCCAGATCAAGCCCCATTAAGCAATCACAGAGGACTGGATGACGGATCCCTGTGTCATTTTGGTTACCCTAAGCTTCCTGTAATTACTGCAGTATATGGACAGGGAAATAGTTGCTTTCTTTGTACAGGGGGATCCATTGTTGCTCATGATTGTGTGGGAATGTCACAAGGGAAGTTTTAACGGTTACTGAGCATACTTGGATTGCATATTGGTCATGATTTTGAAATCATGAAAATATTTTGGTCATGAAAATATTTTAGTCTAGACTGTGAGCTAAAAAGGACAGAACCCCAATTCGTTAGTTAATTTAGCTTTAATATTTCATGAAATAGAGTTCACTGACTGGTGGTTTTGACTTACTCATATTTGGGAAAGTACCAATAATGATTAAGTAGGAAAAACAATATATTTTTCTTTCATACCTCCTTGTGGCTTTTTTTTTTTTTTTTTCTTGTGGCTTTTATGTTTGTTCTTAGAAGTGGGGGAACATTATAGATTACTGCTTCTCTTCAACACTTTATGTTTTGGAACACTTTGTTGTGGTTTGGGTGGAATTTTACAGAACGAATTGGTTTCCCATTCAACAATTTATACACGTTTTGTGTCATTGATTACCATCCCCTCAATGTAACAGCACTCTTCCTACTAATTCCTTGGTTTTCCCGTTTCCATTCTTCCTTCTATCCTGCCCTCTGAACTTTGTTTTTGGGCAAGTGCTACCCTTTTGGACTTTTATGGTTGATAGCCCTGAGGAGTGCTTTCCTCCTAGGTGTTGTTTGCTCACTTTATAGGCCTATTTGGATGAAATGTGATCACAGAGATTGATTAGTTACAGCTTTAAAGGGTGTTTAAGGGTCAGAGTCTTGGGTTCCACAAGTCTCTTATCAGACCAGTAAGTCTGGTCTTTTTTTTATGATTTTGAAGTTTGTTCTACATTTTCCTCCCATTCTGTCCAGAACCTTCTCTTGTATTCCTAATCAGAGCAGTCAGTAGTGGTATCTGGGCATCACACAGTTCTTTCGGTCTCAGGCCAGTGGAGAGTTTGGTTCACATGGTCCACTAGTCCTTTGGATTAATTATTTCCTTGACTCTTTGATTTTCTTCACTCTTCTTTGCTCTGAACAGGGATTGCCCAATAGTTGGATCTTATAGCCCCAACACTATTGTGGTTCTGTTTTTCTGATTCCTTCCTTAAGCCCCCTATCCCTGTAATTTACTATAGATTTTGTCAGTAGGTAGAGAATCCATGTCAAACTTCTGAGTTGGTTTTAGAAATCACACATAAATACACACATGTTTTAAACTATGAGTTTATTTTAGTAGAACTATTTGGTGTGTTTTCTTGCTGTTATTATATATTTAATTTCTTAAGATTTTCATAAAATGTTAGATGGAAGAATTTTGTAAATGTTGGCATGTACAGGTTTACTGGAGCTTTGTTTTCTTCTATTCCTTTGAATTGAATGCTGCTTTAAAGTGACCAGGTAACTTTGTTTCAGGTGCCAAAATCAAAGAAAAGTTTTTTTCTTAAAGGTGTATTCAGTCAATAAGATTTTTAGCTATTGACTTATGAGAACGAATATTTAATAAATAAATGAAGTTTAATTGAAAGTTACTGTGTGCCTATGTCTAGTGTTGAATGAAGGAAATACTATGTAGTCCATGTCCTCCTTAGGAACCCTATACAGGGTTGCTGTGGGTTGGAACCAACTTAAGGCATTTAACAACAA